AATTTCTGGAAAACAAGAGAGAGTCATTTTCTGTATTATACTTATTTTTAGTTGCTGATGGATCTTCCAGGAATTTTTCTCTCTGGACTTTTAACTGTGAACATGAACAAAGCCCCTCCTCCATTAGCCATCATTTTATTTCCATGTCTTGTTTTCCCCTCAGTTTACCTTTTGCGGCTTTAGCTTTTGATCTGGGGACGCTCACTTTAAGTCCTCCGCTCTTTGGATTTGGATGGAGGCGGGGGGACGTCTAATGTCCAATATGTTTGACTCCAGTCTTTAGCCTCCTTTCTGTGCTCTGAGGATTTCCAAAATATCTGAATGTGATCACAGGCCCTCAGGCATGATTCTGCTCATTTTATAAAAGCTGTAAAGTGACCGGGGAGTTGAAAGTGTTTATTTTTTAAAGATAGAATTCTGCTTTGAATCAGGTTTTTATTTTTTGGTATTATGCTTGTCGGCAACAGTCCAAAATGTATCATCTTCTTGTAAAATGTAATTTCTTTAGAACTAACCAACATGGTAACTCAGATATAGATCTTACTATAAATACCAAAAACTTAAAAACAGGATAGTATGAGATATTTTAATTCTATCCTGAGAGCAGGAAATAGTCTGATTCTTCTTTCTAGTAGACAAACTTGGAAATGGTTATAGGATTGGTGCAAAGTGTTTTTTTAAAAAAATTGTGATAATAATATTGGGATTTTACTCAGTTGAAATTGAGTTGAAGAAAAGACGTGTTTTTTTTTCTCTGACAGTGTTAGACCCTTATGTCTGTGTTCAGACTCATCTTTTTGTCTCCCTCTCTCTCTGTGACCTGCTGAAAACCTGTTGAACAGTTCTCTCCTCTGGCCTCTAAGCACAGACATTGGCTGATCAGCCTCTCACGATACCAGGCAGAACAGAATCACCACACGTCTGACTTGAGGTCTGATGCAGGAAACTCCTCTGTTTGTCTTATCAGCAGCAAATATTTGATTTCTGAGAAGTAAAAATGGTGTTGCAGTAAAAATCCACCACATCCCACGGTCTCATTACGCCATGATGTCATTAACAACATGTAGAATGAATGTGCTGTCAAACCGAAATATGTCACTTCCTCCCTTCCTGTGACCTCAGTTCAGAACCACAGGAGAGGAAACGATGGGATTAACAGAGCCAGGGTTAATTAATAATTAGCGAAGAATAAACTCAGTTAGTGCTGATAATCTTCCTGACGTCTGGATCTAATGGTTTATCAGCGGACACGCATGATTCACAGGAGGGAATTATCAGTAATTAGTGAGTGAAATTACATTCTTGTCAAACAGTGATTCAGTGATGAAGATGCAGGTTTGATTCCCTCTCACAAAGACATGGTTCTGTTCACTGTAAAATGTTATTTTCAGTCAAAATGGCTGTATATTTGCCATAAATGGAGTAAAAAAAACTGGGCAGTACTCTCAGTAGTTAACAATAGTAAAAATCCAAGGTAGTGTTTTTGTTTGATGACACAACAATATGTGAGTCATCTGAGAAACGCATCAACAACACAGGAAGTGGTTCTGGTGTAACTGCAAAGACACCATTGAAAATACCCACCTGTATCTACTTTATGGAACTTGTTTTCACTTATACACTAAGGTACACTCAGTGTAGTACCTCTTTATTCTTCATATTGCAGGAGCACGCAGAACTTTCTCAATATTTGTACAAGAGCTGAACAGGAACTGTGGTTGTCCAATCATCTGATGTTTTACATGATTGGCTGTTAGTTCTTTGAGTGTGTGTTGGTGTGGTTTTTGTGTGCATGTTCCTAAAGGAGGGAACCACATAGTTTTGCCATCGCTACAGTTCTTGGTACTGTATCTCTTTTTTGTAAAACATTTCTGGATGCTGCCATCAAAATGATAGGCATGAAAAATGTGATCAGGAAATCAGTTGTGGAAATTATATTTATGATTATCAATGAACAACAACCATGTAACCCTGGGCTGGTGTAACATGTGAAGTTACAGCAACAGTTACTGGCTGCAGTGGGAAAAACACGGCATGAAGGAGGAAATGACTAAAAACACGTGGTTTAGAGTGAAACTGAAGCTGTTAATGCTACATCTGGAAACCATCCACATTCTGTGCATGTGTGTGTGTGTGTGAGTGTGTATGTAACACACACAAATAGGTCAGAGCAGGATATTTGGAGGATGAGATGTTTATTTACACTAGCTTGTAAAACTCACTCAAGTTATAATTAGTTTGCAATAAAGTTTGGTTGTACAATGGATGACATCATCACACAAACAAACACAAACTCACCACCAATGAGTTGTTCCTCAGGAAACAACACCTGAGGAATGTAAGACGTAAGGATCTAAATATATTGTATATATGTTGCACACGATGCAAATTCACATCTGCACTCCCCAGTTACCCTGGAGAAACACAAAACTAAAGTCTGTTTTCTGCTACTTTATGATTTGTTAACAGAAAATGACAAAGAGGACAAAGGTGTAACTGGAAAACACGGCCTGTGTTTGACTGTCCTGTCTGTCCAGATCTGACGTCACATGATGGAAAGAATCAGACAATGACTTTAATATTCCTCAAATAAAGTGTCTCAGTCACTGACAGACCAACGTGAAGTACAGGGGGGTTTGTTTTCTGCCATTTGTATTTTCTTTTCTAAGAATTATGAGTAAATCAAACAGTAGCTCCTAATAGTTCCTTAATAGTTCCTGTATCTATTGACACTGTGAACGGTTCAGGTTCTCAGGTTTCATGCCAGGACCCTGTGATAAAAACATACTGACTGGCAAGACAAACAAGACAATGACTAACAAGCTCTTTTACCAACACTCAATAGAAATGGAGTGGCAGGCAGCTTAGTCAGGTCAGCCTTTATTCACCAGGTACATTATAAAACCAACTGAATGCACAGTTAAATCAAGCTAAGATTTCTTAGTTCAAACCCTATAGAATAACGTGTTAGTGTTTGTGATCATAGAAACCCTGCTCTGACTGACTGTCTTTTTGTTTTTCACTGTGGGTATGGGTTTTTTCTGTGTACTTTGGTTCCCTCCTTCACTCAGATTGGGCATTAGGTTCATTGTTCATTCTAAGGGACAAACGTTCGTCGTTTGTCCCTTTTAGTGACCCTATGATGGACTGGTGACCGGTCCAGGGTGTACCCTGCAGCCCCCCTTAAAGACTTAAAGAGAGGTAGAGATGGTTTGGAGATCTCTGCACAAACAGGCCATTAAAGGTAGAATCGTTCATCTTTAAACCCCAATCCCTGAGGAGAAGAAGAATGGATGGGATTGCGTAGGAGGTTTATCTTTGTAAAAATAACATTTTAAAAGCCCTCATAAAATCTGTGAAATTAATTGAACTAAAGTTGTTAATCATGGCAAAAATCATTCAGGGTCATCTGAAATGACCCCTCCCTCATGAAGGTCTGGGTTCCATGTTTTTCCACCAGAGAGCCTCCCTCATGTACCATAGACCAAAACCACAGGTCTCATGTTGCTTCATACTCACGGTGTCATGGGGAGTTTCTATATTTCTTTATAGTATTAAATCATGTATTTGTTTGGTGTCAGTGAACACCCTGTTACAGATTGACACAGAAACAGTCAGATTAGAATTAGGATTTTTTTCCGGAGAACAAACGTTTTCTCGTTGTCTATTGGATGCATTGGTCTGGTCAGACAGCTTGTGTTTATTAAAACCTCCAGAGAGCAGTTTCATCCTAGTATCTTTATTTAGGGAAAACACATTAAACATCATGTGTCTCCCTGAATGCCACAGACTCAGATTGATCTAATATGATTTGTCCACAAATGTTATTTTGGAACTGAGTCTTTTTTTTTTTTTTTTTTACAAAGCACCATCATCTGATTACATCTGTCCAACATTTATTCATTTGCAACTTGTTTACATAAAGAAATGTTTCTGCCATCATTTAACATGTACAATAAACAGAAAAGGGAATGTTTTCAAGTCAAACCTTTAACTGCAGTCTCCATCTGGTATAAGGACGGACAAATAAAGCTGATGCAGTTTGGCCTAGAATACAGGCAGAACAGCACAAACAACATGGAGATTTGCACTGAGGAAAAGTACCAGGAACTCTCTGTATGACAACCCACCTGCATGAACTAGTGTTTCCACCAATTAAAAGTCTGGTTGGGAAGATGATAAAAACATGTCACTAGTACTAAGCACGGGTACATGGTTTTCTCTAACTGGTCGCCTTGGTGGAAATATCTCTACTGTTGCTAGTTTTAGGTTCTTAACCTGCAATGAGATGTAGTTCCGGTACTATTTTGCATTCCTTCTAAATGTTTCCATAAACATACTGCAGTGCCAAGCACTGTACCTGGTTCTAGATATAAATACTTGCAATGAAAATCTACATAGTTCTTGGTACTCACAAAGGTTCCTAGTACCGCAAAAATAGTCATTTTTGTCTTTTTTGGTAATACTTTTTGTTTTGTCATGCAGATACTGAAGTTCCAGTTTGTATTTGTAGCTCCTTGTACTACTACCTGCAGGGGAACACACAGTACCTAGGACTAGTTCCAGTGATCAAAGTGGACGTACCTTCTGGAATGGTCTTTTGTATCTGCAGTGGAACAAACATAGTCCCTCGTACTAGTTCTTTTTCGTTGCTTGTACTATGTCCTGCCGTGGGAATGTACACACGTGTTTCTCAGTGTAGTTCATGTGATTACGTTCTTAGTTTTTGATACTTGTTTAACTTCTTTGTACTGATGTGTCCTTGACCTGGAAAACCTGATAAGTTCTTATCAAGTCCACAGAATAAGACTGTAAACCTGGAAACACCCTGTGATAAAATGATCAAATTAGAACCTTTGCCCTGAGGACCTGATATCTGGCCCCTCCCTGGACTCTTCACTTCATGTTGAGAACAATATGTCCATTCATGTGTCCAATAAATAAATATTTATATATATATATATATATATATATATATATATATAAAAATATATATATACTGTATATAGACAACAAAAAACATACAAAGTTCTGTCAGGGTCATAGAACTTCAGAACTCTGGTTGTTTTGTCTGTAGTCCAACTTTGAGCGAGACAGTTGGATGGTGTTAGTCTCGTCTCTGCCCATGGACGACTTGAATATAGAATGTCTAGAGGACAGGAGCGGAGCCTGGCAGACGGAGGCCCAGCAGAAGTGCAACACACTGGGGGACAGGAGGATGAAGACCCACGGGTCAATGATGGGGTTGACGGAAATGAAGCGCAGGGCAATGAGGTCCAGGCGGTGAGACTCCACCCTGGTCCCGATGGAGTTGATGTAGACCCGGATCTGAGACAGGGAGAGAGAGTACGAGGGAAAAATGAGCGTGGAAAGAGATTAGCTGCCAAGGTCTAATCCCAGCGAACACAGCCACATCCGAGCAAACATCCTGGTCATAAATCCCACACTGGACCATGTGGAGAGTGGAACCTAATACTCACTACTTCTGTTTGAATGTCACGCTGATACTCATCAACCCTGATTAGACTCTTTGTGGTGAATGTCAGCTGTTTTTAATGTCAGGGTTGTTGTTGAGTACAGAGTGATGTTCCACTTATTGGAAGATGAGGCCAAAACAAAAAGCAGACGACTTTTTCTTACGTCCTTGTTCCTAGAAAGTTCAACTAGGAATAAATCTGTTTGGTCCACAGACTTCGGCCATATATTTTGGATGGTCAACTCTGTCTGCCCACAGTCAGTCTCCTAATGGTGCTCTCCCTCCGCCTCTTTTTAACATAATCCTTATCCCCATAAAGTATCAAGCATCTTTCAGGAGAATTCTGAGGCTTCAGGTCTTTGTCATCACAGTCACACGGCCCATGTCCTACGGCTGTGGGATCAATTCTTTTGCGGAGCAAAAATTAACTCGACTTTCTCACAGAATTCCATCCAGACATAATATGTCAGTACGTTTAACAAGTGGAGACTTCAAGATCTCCAACATCTCCACTGTTGACACAGAGCCTGATTTGTCTTCTAGAAGGCAGTGATTCCAGCTCACACAGGATGTTTACACTGACCAGAGTCGTGTTCTGATTTAAAGGGATACTTGGACTTCTCTTAGCATCTTCTTTGTTTGCTTTTCAGACAAACACCAGCAGCCGGTGCATTGTGGGGCAATATTTAATTCTGGGGCCAAACCGAGCTGAGATTCCGTTGCCGATATCCGGCATGAATTATTTTAGGAACCATATTGATTATGAAGGACATTAACATTTGTGGCTACTTTGACCTGATCACAGAGGTAAATACGAAGGGGCCATGTTTCTATGTTTTTTTTAGTTACACTGTTGAGAAGGAAATAAACAGAGCCGGATGAAAACGGAACCTCACTGGCAGCGTCAGGGATGCAGCGGTTTTCATCTCACTAATGAATAAGACATTTAAGTTCAACATTCCAGCTCCCAGTCTGTGTATGGAAACGGCTTTTGATTAGCGCTGCGCTCAGTGCAGCTGCAGCGGTGGCAGCAGCAGCAGCAGCTTGTCACTGATTAGCTCCTGCTCTGTGGTTAAGTGATGTCTCAGTTATCTGCTACTGCAGGAACCAGCAGGAACCAGCTGGAACCCAACTCACTGACCACAGGGACTGGAAGCAGCATGTTAATAGGATCTGTGGAGGCGTTGACTGGTCTACAGGTTCCTACAGGTTCCTGCTGTTCTTCCTATTTGAGGTCAGGGGAAAAAGGCTAATAAAACAGTTCTGGGACTGATTTGTATTTAAACCCATTTTGCGAGCTGGGAGAACTCTGCTTTTCATTGAGTCTGACTATTAACGATCTTCACCTCTGACTTTCACTGAGTCTCTGGTTACTTTGAAGATTAACACATCAGTAAAGACCGAGACATTTGAAACCATTTTGGTTAAAGTTAGATATTATTAGGTTAACAGAGGTCAACTGTGTTTAGACTATGTCTACGGTTATGGCTAACGGTTAGCCATTTGAGCTAACTTTTGTGTATTTTATCATTATTTATTGTCTCCACATTCAGCACATATTACTGTCATAATTATTCATGTATGTGCAGTAACAACATGTATTTTAATGTTTAAAACTTCACAACTTATTTACATCTATCGTTAGGATTTTTGGGGCTAACCTTTAGTTATCTTTTGGCTAATTTGAAGCTTTTTTAATTCTTGTCCTCCTGTACAAACGTTAGCTGTGTTTCCATGACCCAGGCAGGAAACGTTACATCACTGCAGCGTTTAAATCAACACAGACTCCAGAGACGTGTGGAGTAAAAGATGAATGAAGTGTGGTGTCGTTTTCAGACAGAACCACATTGATCACAGCTGTGATCAGTGACACAACAGACTAAAGGTGAGAGGCACACAGAGGTGATGAGGGACGGAAGATTTATTTCTTTTTTATTTTTATCTCTTCTCTTACTGAAACCAAGTGTAACAAAAGAGGAGTGTGTGTGTGTGTGTGTGCGTGTGTGTGTGTGTGTATATGTGTGTGTGGTGGTCTCTGGTAATAAATAATAGAATTTCCCTGTTGTGTCATAAGGATGAATGTGTGGCCTCCAGACCTGTGACTACACTGCAAATATAAATCACTCAGTAATAACTTAAACCTCACAACTTTAATCCTTGGTTATTGTTTGGTTACATGATCTATGAAAATGTATTACTCTATTACTATTTGTTCTGTTAGCACAGAGATGAATATTAAGTCAAGCCAAGATAATAATAATAATGTCAAAGAGCTGACATTAGAAAAGTAAGGAGAACTGGAAACAAAAAGTTTTGTTTTTATCTAGAAATTCTTGGTCAAAACTCATTCCGCATAAATCAAATGTAGGTGAAATGTTTTCCCAGCAGATGGAAAATGTCGTCCAGAAGGTTAATGTAGTCTTTTAGTAGACATATGATCTGAGCAGAGCTGGCTCAGCTACACGGCAGAGGGATTCATATTTATTCATGAGACCGTGTTCTCATTAAATGATGAATTTATCACACACCGAGTGACAGAAATGACCCTGTGGCCTGGGCCTATAAACTATCTGGTAGGAAAGACCAGAAGACATGGACTGAAGGCTGCATGTGGGAAACACTGTTCACTTTTCCCCCTGTTGTTAGCTAAGATAAAGTTTATTATTATTAAAACTGAATATGTAATAACAGCTGAAAGTCAGTAAAAGCTTCAGATTTTCTTAAGAATATATTAAACTGAACCAAGTTGAAAGTGAGTGAAGTGAAAGTTAGTAAAGTAGGAAGCTAGCTAAGAAACGGAAGCTAATTTACTAGAAGTTAGCTCAATTTTTAAGACGAGCTGAAATATGATGACAGAAATAAAGATCACATCACGTCAGTTGCAGTAGCCTGAACCATCTCGTGAGCTGAACATTAAGCTAACATGAAATGTAGCAATATTTCGTTTCACAATACCATTGATATTCCACAGTACTTTATTGGTTTTGTTTTTAACAATGAACATGCAAATATTCATGACTTTGGTTTATTTATTATTTCTTCTCTAGTGTTCCAAATGTAGTCACCTGATGTTAAGTATGTAACAGCATTGGGTGTCTACTGGACTGACAGTTTTATTACAATTAAATTGTTTTTTTCTCTATCACTATATATCATCGTGCCAATAGTATCACAGCACCTGTATTGTGATACCTACTGTATCGCCAGATACACAGCCTTAATTTACTGCGTGATTTAAAGTATTGACACTGACCTGTCTGCTTTGATCAGAGCTGATCTTTTTTTTTTGACTGATCATAGACTGACAAAATGTCTATTACCAAAACTCTTTTGCAAAACAAAGTTGAGCAGACCATTCCTAGTGACCATACCTGGTGGAACCCACACCTGTTCAATCCATTGCTTGAAATCATAGTAAAGATTGTGTTGAGTTTAGCGAACAGGACACTGAAGCCCATCCAAATTCGTTTGGTTGGTACCACAGCTCAAGAATCCAAGGGATGAAAGTACGACCTAGGTCTGATCTCATCGGCCTCAGCCCCAACAGCACAACATCTTTCATGAGGATCTGTTCAAAGAGCTCCAAACCTGATATCCTTCACCGCTTGACTGCACTGATGAATTCTGTCCATTACAATTAGGAAAAGAACCAGTGACAGAGGAAACAGGCCGAGTCCAGTTCTAACTGGAGGGAGTCTTTCTTAGCGAAGCCAGGATGAACCAACCTTAAGATTC